TCTTTACCTCTAAAGGTGATGTACAGAGGGATTAGAATTACGCAAGTAAGGTAATGAGTACATTTCTTTTTTTAACAGTGTTATCCCCTCTCTCATTTTTCCCACTTTCCCTCCTCCCCAACTCCCCTCCCCCCAAGTTGTAAAATTCATTTCCAACATCGTGTCTAGGAGTATCACTGTTGCATCGGTTCACCCTTTGTCCCACTGGTTCTATGATTTCCTTTCCCTTCCCCAAATCAGATAAACTTATATACAAGACAAAGGGTACTGAAATAAAAAAAAAAAAAAAACAGTGACCACAGGGATAAACCAAAGAACAAAAAAAAAAAAAAAAAAAAAAAGGAAGTAACTGCAAACAGTACGCTGAAAAAACCCTCTGTTTCCATATCTTGGAGTTCATTTTGGTTAACATCATTTTATATGGTCATATGTACATAGCTATTGATCTATTGTGATCCTCTGCTAGGACTATTCTCGGTGTATACTAATTATTACAAATGAGGGAAACCATGGAGCCTATGTTTTTTTGGGTCAGGCTTACTTCAGTTAATCACAGAAAAAGCAAAAAGTGATACTGTAGCTCAAGTGGTAGGGCACTAGCCTTTGAGCAAAACGAGCTCAAGGACAGCATTCAGGCCCAGCCCCAGGACCAGAAAAAAAAAAGACATGGTCTTGCTAAGCTGGCCTTAAACTTCTAATAAGCATTCCTGTACTTCCAAAGTCCTCGTATTAACAGTCATGCACAACCATGTTCAGCACTAAGAACATGCATTTCTATGTAACTGAAATGTATCTCTGAGTTCGATTTTCTTATCTTTTCTACTTTCTTATCTTTTCTTATCTTTTCTAGAAGCAAGAGAACATGGTATTGTGCTCTTCATATTACAGAAAGATCCTTCTAAAGAATAAAGCAAAATAATGATTCTGCTGAAGAGAATAATGTAATGAGATTTTTGTGATCTGAATTCTGGGATTATAGCTACCGTGCTTTCATTTTATGACAATGAAGTAAGTCATTCCATCTCTCCTTACTTCCATCATAAACAGTGCAAGCCTGTAATCTGAGCTATGTGGTAGGCAGAGGTAGGAAGATTATTGTCTGAGGCTAGCTAAGGCAAAAAAATGAGATAGTTTTTTGAAAAAAACTAAAAGGACTGGAGTATGGCTTGTGCAGTAAGTAGAGTGCTTGCCAAGCAAGCACAAATCTTGAGTTCAAACCTCATGGCAGCAAAATTTCAAAAAAAAAACAGGAATAATACCATTTAGTACTAATGGACATTCAGAAGAAGCATGATAGAGTCATTTAGCTCTTTTTTGTTCTTAAACAAATTGAGAATAATTAAAGAGCAATGCAAAAATATACATTTCAGTAAAATACAACATAAGACTCATAGAGAAAAAGAAGTATTTATAAATGCTTATATGACTGTCATTTTCAAATCACCAGGTAATTAAAGGAATTTTGAATTATTTTTTATTGAACAAAATATTGTATGAGATATGAAATGATAAAAATCATTTACATTCTTTCATCTATTAAGATCTCAATATTTAATAAAATAGTAAATGCAAAATATGCTTATATGTACAGAACATTTGAGAAAAGCTCATATGCAGTTTGAATTGCTTCATTTGAATTATGAGTTTGCCTGATTTGTGGTGGGAGTGAATAAAAATTGAAGAAATGACTTGCTTGAATTCAACCTGTTGTTTCTATCATAGTTTCAAATATGCCAAACTGCAATCCATTGAAGATACTTTTGCATGAATACAATCACTTGAGACAAAGGTAGCTGCTGTTCAAGGAACTAACATTTAGTTCTCAACTTTAATCTTTAAAACGAGGGAATTGCTTTTTGAATATCTTGCTTCATACCTCATTGCTTTGTTCATATAATAGATGAACCCTTAGTAGTAAAGTTCTCATCTTTTTATATTGTAGAATAATCAGTGGTGGTAGGGTCTTACAGTTACCCTAAGAGCCCATCAATGGATGAATGAAGAAAATGTGGTACATATACACAATGGGGTTTTATTCAGATATTCAAATTATATCTATTGCAAGCAAGTTGATGGAACTGGAGAACATGTTAAATTAAATAGTCAGATGCAGAAAGACAAGTATTGCATGGCTTTTCTCATATGTGGACTATAGGGATAAAAGGACATGGATATGGATACAAAAGCATGACTAAGAAAAAAAGAAAGGGAAAGGAGGAAAGAGAGGATAAGAAAGGATAATGCACTGGGTAAGTATGATCAAAGTACATTATAAACATGTATGGAAGTGTCACTATGAAACCTATTATCAACAAAATATGTAAATAAAACATACACACAGATACACATGTAGCACTTCTAGCCGCTCGCCCCCCCCAACCAGATAATTGTCATAGAGACTTAAATCCAATGTTAGAGGAGATTTAATCTTTGCAAAGGTATGGGTCCTTTGCAATGTGTTGTAAGAGATAGCCTTTTTTTTTTTTTTTACAAAAAGATAAAATTATTTTGAAAAATAAAAATAAAGCTTTGAGTGCAAAAATTGTGAGTTCAAGCCCAAGTACTGGCATGCATGGAAAAAGAATTTTGTAAGAAAGGATGGAATATACCAAACTGCAATCTAAGACGCAACATAAATGTTATTAAAAGCCTCAATTCTTAAGTAAAGAAGATAGTTTTATGCATATGAAAGGAAAGATTAAAATATCAATGACAAATATTTGTTAAGATTATACAGAGATATATATTCATTTTGTTTTCTGGGGGTTGAATGGGAATTTATAAATATCTATGAGAAGAATAAATGCAGCCCCTGACATCAAAGATCTGCCTTGGCACTCACAGGTAGGCCTTTGTGTTCTTATCAATTTAATAGAACATTAAATTAACACAAGATCATCCTGTGACTGTGATGTATCAAATAAAAACTAAGTTGACTGTAATCACATACACACAGTAAAACACTGTCTCAGTCACAGAAATGGAAAATATCCCATTTTGGCTTAAGAAGTGACTTCTGTTTTTTTTACCCATCACAAATTTGGCCTTGGTTAAGTATCCCCTGCCTTAGAACAAGATTTACTTAAGGTATCAAAGCAGTTATCTTTCTGACAGTTTCAATCTATAGCAAAGCCTCACTTCCTTAAAATCTTTCTCAAATCATCTAAGTGTCCCAACCCTACAATGTCATTTCTTACTGAAGACTCTCAAGATCTGTTTTCTTTCCCACTGTGATGAACAACACAACATGTTCAAATGCAGGTATGTTTCTGGAAGAGTTTAGCTACAGAGAATTGCTATTCATGGTCTTTTAAACAAAGCAGTTCCATTTCAAAAAATTTATCTTAGTAAATCTTCAAAGAGATGTGAAGATGTGAACAAAGATATTCTCTGTGGTCTCAATTCTCATATGGAAAATATCTTGTAAATGTTCATCATCAAGGGAATAAATTATATGTGATATGGCCATAAAAAGAATATATGCAGCTGATGTAAACCAGTATTGCATGAATAAAAAATGCTCCTGAGAGAAAATAAAAGATACCTAACGAAAGTCAGATATTTTATTTATTCAATACTGTTAGATGTCTGCTGTTGCCAAATTTATCTATTGATTCAAAGTTATACTGATCAAAATATTAGCTGGAGGATTTATAGAAATTAACTAATTTCTAGAGCTCCTATAGAAATACAAAACACCAAAATAACTCAAAAACAATGAAGTTCCAAGAATCATGCTGCCTAATTTCAAGACAAAGTGGTATTGGGATCAAGATACATAAACAGATCAATGCAACAGTATATAACAAGGAAATAGAACTTTATATATAGGAGCAACTCATTTTTTGACAAAAATGCACAGGCAGCTCAAAGACTAGTCCTGTTAGCAAATGGTGCTTAAAGAACTAGATATGGCTATGACAAAACCTGAACTTTGATATATAACTTGCACCATGTATAAGATGAACTCAAAGCAGATGACAGTCCTAATTGCAAGCCCTAGAACTATAAAACTTTTAGAAGGAAATAAGGATAATATCTGTGTCCTTGATTAGATAATGTTCTTATATATAACACCAAGATTCAACTAGTAAAATAATTGCTACTAATCAAAAGACATTAAAAGAATAGATACATCACAGACTGTGAAAAAATATTTGCAAAATATATATTTGACAACACATTTGTATCATTTTATATGCATCACATTACATACAAAATCTCTTAAAAGCAATTACAAAAATCAAAGTCTAAAAATTTTTAAATGGACAAAGATTTAGACATAATTCACAAAAGATATATGGATGACAGATATACATATGAAAAGATAGTCAATATCATTCTAGATACACAAGCCAGTACTATGAAATATGGATAAAATTTTAAAGATTGGCCACACCAAATACTAGCAAGGATGTAGAGGAATCATTACTCTTATATACTTCTGTTAGAATGTAAAACAGTACCACTACTTTGGAAAATATTTAATATATTAGTATTTATCCAAAAGGAATAGAATTATACACCCATTGAAACCTTTGTACATGAACTCTCACAGCAACCTTACTTGTAAAAACTAAACTTTGAACTTGATACTCATTAACAGTTGAATAAATAAACAAATTGTGGTAAAGCCATATAGTGAACTCCTCATACATGGCATAAATGAAACTCAAATAATTATGCTTAGTGAATAAGCCAGATTCCCCTTCCAAGAGCACATGAGGTATGATTTCATTTATATATATATAATTACAGAAACTGGAAAATGATTGTGTTAAAAAAGCAGATAAGCAGCTGCCTTGGGTTAGGGGGACAAAAAAAGTAGGAAGGAGGAATTACAGGGGCATGTGGAAGCTTTGGGGGTGATGGCTATGCTATGTTCAATAGCTTGTAGTTATGGTTTCATATATTTATGTCAAAACTTGGTGTGCTTAAAATATACAATTTCATGTGTTAGTAAAATCTCAATAAAGCTATTAAGTAAAAAGCATGTAGTAGATCTGTATAGCACTAAATTGTAAAGATAACTTTTAAGGGGAAAAGGTAAGATGGTGAATTCTACACTCCTTAATTCTGCAAATAAATAAATTTGCACATATATCACATCAAAAGAGCATCCAATGAAAAACTTTAACACCTTATACCAACTGTAAAATTTTACACAGTAAAATCATGAAGTAATTAAAATATTTTATAGAAGCATATTTGTTGACATAGAAATATGTTCACAATATAGTCAGTGGAGGAAAAATTATGAGTATTTACAGTATAATCTCATTTTAGTTCCATAACTGCAACATCTCAACATATAAAGACTTTCTCCCTATCTCATAAGGTTTGTAATTTCTACTATGAGTCTCAGAGAACTCAAACAGCCCAAAAGTTCTGAGATGCTTTCTGAGCCATAACTTCCAGGAATCACTACCTTACGTAGGTTAAGATCATAGCCTTTCTCCTGGCTTTCTTGTTCTTTGCTGAAGCTGCAGTTCTTTTTTAAATGTATTCAGTTTATTCTCAATTTCTCCAGTTTAATCTCAATTTTGGCTTGTAGAAATGCAGAAACTGGGTTTTTCTGAGCCCTTTGGCCTTTCAGATAACATACAGGACAATGGTTTAAAAAACTGAGGTGTGATTTTGTAAGGAACTATTATTCTTTCAATACAGAGCATGAAAAAAATGTACAGGATTCTAGTTCTCTGAGGGTAAATTCCATATGGACAGAAGAAGATAGGAAGGTTGCATATCAAGTTTTACTTTCTTTTACCATCTATCAGATGATGTGTAAAATATACACATTCATCTCTGACTTTTCTCATACCTCTAGACAGATATAGGTAAATGCCTGATGGACAAATGGATTGGAAAGATGGTAAGAACTATAATGCCTGCCAAGGACATTATCCATTGCAAAATTAAACTATTATAACCAAACAGTCTCTGAGCTTTGAATGCAATCAACCAAAAATATGAAGGACATCAGGGTGGTGTATTAGAGTGGTTCTGGTGTCAGGTAAAACAGCTATGCCAGCTGGGCAATAGTGGTTCACATCTGTACTCCTACTCAGGAGGCTGAAATATGAGCCAACCAGGCTGTCTTTGAGTCCATGAGACTCTTTTATCCAAATAACCAGCAAAAAACTGTAAGTGGAGCTGTGGCTCAAGCGGTAGAGCACTACTCTTAAGCTAAAAAGTTTAGTAACAGCACCCAGGCCCAGAGTTCAAGCCTCTGTATAACACACACTCTCTCTCTTCTCTCTCTCCTGTCTCTCTCCTCTCTCTCTTTCACTCACACACACTCACAGGCATACACACACAGCAGCTATGCCACTTGTCAGCTGTGGAAATCTAGGAAAAAGTATTCAATTCCTCTAATTCTTGTTAAAAGATACCTTTTAACTAAGTACCTGTGGAAATGTAACAATTTAAAATATGAGTGCAATAATCCTTTGTATAGCTAATGTATGCTAATAAGAATTGAAAAATACAACACACAAGCAACTGTGAAAGGAAAAAATTTGTAAATATGGTGACAGCAGTCTGACAGATTAGGAGAGGATTGACATAAATGAAATATGCCTAAAATTTAAGAGTTATAAATGTAGTTTCAGAATAAAAAGTAAACTCTGTATTTTATCTGAGATTAAGGGATAATTCTATGTTAGAGAATAACTATCTACTGCAGATGTAATAGGAGGAAAATAGAAATCTCTCTTACAACAAACTGCTTATAATAAACCCTGTCTCCTTTATGTAATGTGAGGACACACTGGCAACAAACATATGTACACACATGCACACACACACACACACACACACACGCACACACACTGTAGGTATTATTGGTTATCTTTATGTATATGTCTTATTTCTATAACTAGAATTCAAATCAGTATCTTCTTTTTGCCATTTAAAGCTATAAATGGATCTAAACAGACACTAAAGATCAAGCTAGCCTACTTATAATGAACTGGTCTGCTATTTCTTAAGTACAATATCAAAAATCTGCTACTCTAGACAAGATAAAAATCTACAAACATTTTCATATCAAGACTTAATATTCATTTCTAGCTTCAAGGTACATCCTGTAACAGATAATACTGTGTTAAAAGATGTAAAGTTTAATGTTTGGCATCTCCAGTTTTCTTTCATTTCTACCTCATTTTACATTGCTTCAATAATCCCTTTAACTTCACAGAAAATAGCTGTAAGCATATTGTAACTCAAGTGATCAACAACTACAATTGAGCCCTTTCGAATATGTTCCTTTATGTTAATAAATATGGCCACGGCACTAACAAGATTGGATTTTGCCTCTTCTGGGTTAAAAATAAGTTTGAATGCTGCCAAAGCCTTCATATTGATCATGTCTCTGGCTGCAGCTGAATTTTCAGACATATTCAAGAGTACTTTTAAAACAAGATTTCTAGTTTTATGATTTCCCTGAGACAACAAATGAAAAAGTTCTGAATAGTAACTGACAACAATGTAGTGATGGAGATAATCAGTAGTCAGTTGTCCTAGTATCTTTAATCCAGATTGCTGTCCAGGTGAGTTCAAAGGGAAAGATATGGTTTCCTGGCACACATGCTTAACATGTAATTCAACCCTATGTTGTCTTTCATCTCCAAAAGGAGACTTTCGAGTAATTACAGCCTTTTTTCTCACCTCAGAGGATGGAAAACTGAGCAAGCTTTCAATCAGTGTCACTACACCCACTTCATTGATGAATTCTTGGGCAAATGAATGAACCTTATAGATACCCATTGCAATCTGTGCTATCTTATGAATGAGAGGATCAGTAGTTGTCTTAAGTATATAAACAAGTTTTTCAAATTCCCCAGAACCCAGGTAGCATTCCATTTTGCAACGGCAAGCAAATGGCTTAGTTCCATTCACTTCCCTGGTCTTAATTTGGTGTCTAATTTCATCCAAGGTCTGGATGCAAGGGTCAGAACCAAATGGATACTCAGGGATAGGCTGTGAAGTGGAACGAGTTCCCTTAGAAGAACAGGCTGCTGTACCAGGCAAAGAACGATTATTTTCCTCAGCTGAGGACAGAACAATATATGAAGACAGCCTTGTCTCAGATGGCACCTGGGATCTAAATCCCAAAACTGCAGGAGTTACAGCAGGGGCTTTGGGCCAGATTGTTACCTCAGACCAGTCCTTGGGCCTATTTTTTTCATTAATTTCATCCACTGGCTGAGGCTTTATTATCCTGAACACAGGTTGAGGATTAGGATCATAACTGGAATCATCTCCTTCCCAAAACCAATTCCCAATAACATTCTCTTCTTCCTCTTCATCCTCAGCGCCTGACCTAGACCTGCAGCTGGGCCTGGCCACAGGCTCCAACTCCTCAACACGACTCTGGATACCAGTATTAGCTTTATTTTCATCCTTAGCACTGGAACGATTCCCCGCCTCTTCTCCCTTCCAGAACCAGGAATTGATACTAGCCTCTTCCCCAGCCCAGAACCATGTATCAGTACTAGCCTTATCTTTACTTATGGAACTAGTAGCCTCGCTCTCATTCTTGCACCTGAAATCTGCTATGGTTTTCACTGTAGCCTTAGGCTCTGACCAGGCTCTTTCCTTCATATCAGTAACAACTTTATTCTTAGACACTGTTTTCATCTCTCTCACTGCATCTGCTTTAGGTTTTGCCTTGACTTTGACTTTGGCCCCATTCTTGGCTCCTGGTTTGACTACACCAGTAGCTTCCTTCTCTTCTCCAGCTTTACTTTGTACACTTGCCCTTTTCACAATTTTGGCATGTACTCTGCTCTTATTCTTTGTCCCAGTCATGGTTGAAGCCCAGTTCTATATAGTTGTTCAGTGCTGAGCTTCTCAGTGTATCCTAGGTCAGTGTCTTTATACTTTTACTGGATCAGACGAATTTGTTAGCAAGAATTAGGTGTCAGTTGACAGTTTAGCAGTTACGCAGTCCCTTTTCTAAACACACTGACTCTATCAATGTTATGGACAGATCAGAGGGCATAGTCAGGTTGAGGGAGGATGATGTTATCTGACAGCAGACCTGTAGAGTGATGATCTTCTGTCAATCCAAGGCCACCACTGGAGACAGACCTGAAGTAAAAGATAGAAATGGCCTTTGAGTATCTTCCAACTTTGCTTCTTAATGCAGTTAGCCACAAAGGTCGTAAGAACAGATGGACTGTGTGGTAGAACTGGATAAGTAGAAAACTCTGCTACCTCATTTTGTTTCTCACACTTCGAATAATGCTCAACAACATACCATCAATGTACTTTTCTCATCACAAACACATCGGGCTCAGGAACAAGGAGGGCATTGGTGGGTTACACCTGTAATCCTAGCTACTCAGGAAGCTGAGATCTGAGGATTGCAGTTCAAAGCCAGCCCAGAAAGGAAACTCCATGAGTCTTATCTCCAATAAACTACTCAGAAAAAAAGCTAGAAGTGGCACTGTGGCTCAAGTGGTAGCATGTAGCCTTGAGCACAAAGAGGCTCAGAGATAGTGTCCAGGCAGGCCCTGAGTTCAAGCCCCAGAACCAGCAAAAAAAAAAAAAAAGAGGGTAAGGAGTTCCCAGTCCATTTGGACCCTAGTAGGTATATCCAGATAGGCTTCATACCAACCTGCACCAAAATTCAATAAAATTTTCTTCTCCCTCTTCAGTTCCAGTGTTGGTAAGAAATATAGCTGACACCCAAGCAGATCTATGGACAAAAATGTATTTAAGATTAGAACTTCTGCATATTTGGTAGACTGACCTGCAATCTAGTCTCCCAATAATTGCCTTTCCAAATTTACAATTTTAGTTACATGTCACTTCTGACCCACCAATGTTCTTCATTATGGCTTCACATCCCATTTCTTGCTCCAGTATCTACCAATTACCTATAGATAGAATCCTCACCCTGTCCACATTACCTGTATGCAAATGAGAACAAAGGCATCCGGAATGTTGGAAAACAATTAATGGCATCAACATATTTGGTTTCACAAACTAGCCAATAGTTACCTCCACCTCTAATCAACCAGAGGACTTATGCTCATGCTCACTCATATCCACACTGGATCCAAACAATAATTAGATTCTCATGCTTAAACTCCAAGTGAGCTGCTGCCTACAGGTCTCTACAGAAATTTAGAAAGGAATAGTCCTACTGATGGGCAAAAAGGCAGAAGCAAATAAAGATATAGTCAGAAGCTGATGGCTCACACCTGTAATCCTAGTTTCTCAGGAGGCTGATATCTGAAGATCACAGGTCAAAGCCATCCCCAACAGGAAAGTCCATGAGACTCCAGTTAACTACAGAAAAGCTATAAGTAGAGCTCTGGCTCAAGAGGTAGAAGGGTATCCTTGAGCAAAAGCTCAAGGATAGTGGTCAGGCCCTGTAATTCAACACTAAATAAATAATTAAAGAAATATTGAGATGACCCAGTACCATTGGCAAGGTTTATAACAGAAACTTCATGTATTCAAGGCAATGTTCAATGTCTCCCATCTTTTTGCCACAAATGATTCCTTAGCCTTCTTTCTCAAGACCTGAATTTATCTGGTTATACCTCTTCCCAACTCAGAAGTCAATCATCTTCCTAGCAAGAGCTACATCTCTCTTTCCCTAACAAGATGGTACAATAAGCAGTTGGAAATAGGTAACTGTATTTGCCACTATTATATCAATATAATCTTCACAAGCCCCCTTTCCAATGCATACCTAGATCCTACCTTAATTTACCACCTGTGCCAAACTGCCAACAAAGAGTTCTCAGGAAAAGCTATCCTTCCCATCAAAGAAGAGTCCTCTGGTTGGGCAGGTGACAACCTATAGAAAAGGAAGATGTTCTTCATCAAAATATTAGGAAAATATGTTCAAAATAAAAAAATACAGGTTAATGGACAGATTTCTAGAATTTAAATTCATAGCCTCTTTTTTGAGCATCATGACTAACTAAATGAAGTCTAGCATCTTTAATAGCTCTCCAGATGTTCATTTTTATAAATGCCATGCCATCTTCTGTGGGACTGCTTATGCACAAAACTGATAGAGTCTATGAGAAATGGCTGGAGATGATGTTTCAGGTTTCAGAAACAGAAACAGAATAAGCAATTGACTTCAAATGTTCGAAACTGATCTTCAGAAAGACTTCCCTTTACATTTATCTCCCACTCCTACATATCAAAATATTACTTACAATTGATTGGTGTGGTAAGTAAACAGATTGACTACCAAACATAAGTTACCATCATTCTATTAATTTAATGGTCCGTTGCTATGAAATTTGACCAACTCTTTATCCTAAGCATTAGCTTACACTAAATTGGGCATGATAATCTAAACCTATAAGGCAATAAAACAACACTGTACTAAAAGTAGATGAACATTTAATTTTGTCCCCTTCCCCAGTATTCATCAGATTTACTGCGGAGATGAGACTGACTCTTGATGTTAATTAAGCAGGAGTCTGTGGAAGGGATATTACTTCAGGAACACCAGGGTCCAACCGACTCCGGTTTGGAAGCAAAGTGGGAAAGAGGAGTCTCCTCCCACCAGTTCGGCTGGACACAAGCTTAGAGGCCTACCCTGGCTCCCCCTCAAGCCTCCGCCCCCTCACCGCCATTTCTCCCTTGAACCTCTCCCCCTTCAGCCCTCTCTGGGCACAACAATCTTCCAGGGCGGGACACAGGCGCCCTGGAAGCTGGCTGGGAGGCGGTCAGCTCAACTGGCTCCAGATGATCCTGGAGCCATTCTGGCCTCCCCCTCCACCTTGGGCCGGCCAGACCGCCGGGGGGCACCGTCTTCTGGTTTCCGGGGTCCCGAACACTGCGCACCTCTCTGGAGGATCCGCTTGGATGGCTAGCCTCCTTGGTGATGTCGAGCTGCCAGATGTCTGAGGGAATCCACCCAGAGTGGACTGCTCAGGGCCTAGGAAAACGGGATCCTCCTCCCCCCTGAGCTCTCCTCAGGCAGCTGCTCTCTGGGACTCCCACTGCTTTTTCGACGAGCCAAATCAGAAAGAGGCCCGCCCCACGCACTAGCACCACGGCTGGCCTCCAGAGGCCCAGCGGGACACAGCAAGAACGCTTGTCCCGAAAGCTTGTCGGGAAGGGGGGCGGAGGGATACGGCCGCGTCAGTGCTGGACGCCCCCTCCCAGGCCCACCATAGTTCCGACCCGGGGTGGGCGGGGCCTGCACCAGCCCCACTCTCAGGGGCGGGCTCCCGCCACTCGCCCTGCCTCCCTGCACCCTGCACACCCTGACGTGGCGACTTCCACCACTTCCCTGCCTCTGCTAGGCTTCCCGGTGCTGTGCTCGCTGAGAGCTAGGGGCTGTGGCGGCTGGGGAAGCAATATCCGAGGTCGGGAATCGCTGCGCTGGAGGGAGCAGCGGATGGATACTAAAGCCGCCCCTTGGTGCTTTGCACCCCAGACTGCGCAGTGCCTCTCCCCTTCTCCCCCCTCCCCTCGCCAGTCTCCCTGTCCCTCCTCCTTCCTGTCGGAGGGGGGAAAAGGGGGTCTGGACTGCAGACAGATGGGGAAGAAACATGTGACATCAAGACATAGCAACAAGCAGTGTGGACAAGGGGCCTCTAGGAGGCTCTGCCATGTTTTGCTTTGCTTGCTTCGTACAGCCATCAAGCAAAGCAAGGCATTTCTGCCTTTAAGGGAACAGAGGTGAGGGCTCCCATCACAGGCCTCATCACTGCTCCTCTCCCAAAGGAAGGCTGGCCTACTACACCTCTAGCCCTAGGAAAATAGCCACAGTCTTTGCAAACAGCCCTTATTTCTATCTCCCTACAGTTGCTCAAGAAAGAAGGCCTTTCTCTGTCAGGACCTGCAGGAAGCCCTGCTGTCCTGTATCTCTGCTGACCCACAACGAAGTGTGCAGGGCCAGTTAGGGCCAATTGTATTTCATATATCACTGTTCTGTCACGAATGGAGACCACTTCCTGTTCATTTCCTTAATGTGGATCTCACTCCATTCCTCAACTCCTTTCTCTTAGCCTAACAATGCTAATATTTATCTTCTTTTCTCCAGAATATATACAGATTTTTACTCTTCAGCTATGTGGAGTTTGAGTCATACTGTAAGTTCACTGAATGAAGGGCCCTTTTCTTAGTCCTTTCTAGCGGTGTGCCTTCATCATATAGTATACAAAATAGTCCGTCAAGGAGTTGAGAAAGCATTGAGGCATACCAATTCCATTGTACCCAGTTTGCAACCCAAATGTTAATTTCTAGGTGCCTCTATTTCTTGGATGCCTGTAACTCCAGGGTTTAAACCAGAGTCTTCTATGTATATGGCTTTTCACTGAAGAAAGCAAGAGATGAATAGAGATTGTGAATCAATTCCTGATGAACTCACATATAAGAAATACTATTAATAATATTACTGACATTATAAATTACATGACACAAAAATAAATGATCATTTTACCTGGTCATTTGCATTACCTTCAAGAGTCACTCAATCTGTTTTACCAATATATGTGATTCAGAAGACATGAAATCATATAACTCATTCATTTCTTACCTAAAATGCCTGGAAGAAATGCTTAAATATTGAACACCTCTAACATGAAAATACAAAACGCTCCCAATCTAACTTAAAAGTTTCAAGAAACTCAAGCATAAAGTTCAGAGTGTTTTGGACTTTGATTATGAGTGCTCAATCAGTTGAGTCTCTGTAAATATTCCACAAATCTGAAAAGACCAAAAATTGGAAACTGTATTCTTTTTCATCATTTTGGGTAAAAGATAATCTCAAGCTGTGTGTTCAGGGAACTCACTAAATGCGATATCTCTCATAATACCAATTAATTATAAATAATCTAATTGGCTATCAGTAGAGAAAGCATTCAGCTAATTGTGGTGCATTTATTCTATAAACTACTATTCCACTTTGGTATCAAAAAGAGTAATGTAATACAAAGTAAAGTGAAAATGGAAATAGATACAAAATAAAGCGAAAATGCTATTCATGTAATACATATGATTCCTTTTGTGGAAAGTATGCTGTGGAAAAAAATATATATGACCACACCAAACTGTTATGGGATTCGCTCCCAGAAAATGGATGGAGTGTATGAATTATAGAATCATACTCTTTTTTTTATATCTATCCTTTATTATCTGTTTTACAATGAAAATGTATTGACATATGTTTAGCACATATCTTAGTTTTGTTTTGGGCCTATACAATGCTGTTTTCTTGCTAAAAAAAAAACATAATGAAAATGCCAGATGCTGGTGGATCATGCTTGTAATCCTAGCTATTCAGGAGGCTGATGTCTGAGGATTGTGATTCAAAGCCAGTTAATGCAGGAGAAAGTTTATGGGACTCTTATCTCCAAATAATACTAAAAAATGGAAGTGGAGCTATGGCTCAAGTGGTACAGCACTACCCTTGAGCAAAAAATGCTCAAGTGAGTTAAAACCCCAAGATAGGCACACACAAGAACTATAATGACAATTCCAATTATCTATTACTCAAATTCTATAAAGCTGCAAGATATAAATCACTTTTTGAGGATAGAAAACAAGCAAACATGTCTTAATTCTTTTCTGACACCTTTTCTTTATGTAGATGTAAGTTTCTCCCTGAGTTTTCTTCTTGAATAACACTTTTCTTTTTAAATTAGTATTTACAGTGTGTACAGAACAATGAGTTCATTTTAAGATTTTCACATATAATCTACTTTGAATATATTATCAATACACACACACACATACACACACACACACACACACTCCTGAAGAACATTTCTTTTATAGCAAGTCTCTTCACACTCAATAGTCTCTCTCTCTCCCTCCCTCCCTCCCCCCTTCTCTCTCTCTCTATATATATATCTGACAAATTATTTCTCATGTTTTAAGGACAATTTCACTGGTCATAGAAATCCAGGTTGAGTATTTTTTTCTTCTTTCAATATTTAAAATATGTCATTCAACTCTCTTCCTGCTTCAGTTGTTTCTCATAAGTCCACTGTAGTTTTGAATTCTTTTTCCTCAACAAGTAGACCTTTGTAAAAATACTGACTTTCTGCAGTTTTGTTATAAATAGTATTATTGACATTTACTCTAATGTTTATTTTCTGAAATTCCTGGATATTTGATTTGAGACCTGTCACTAATTTTGGAAAATTCTTGTTCCAAACTATTTTCTTTCTGGTATTCAAATCTCACAGTTCTTCAGTGTTCTATTCTTGTTTTCTTATTCTTTTTTTTCTTTTTTGCATTTCAGTTTGAGAGTTTCTGTTGAATCTCTCAAGTTTACTGATTTTTTCCTCACTTTGTTCAGGGTATTAGTGTTTTGAATTTCTGCTTATACTGCTAATCTGTTCTTTCACATTGCCTATTTTACCTATTACAGCTGTTGACGTATGGTAAAGTGTGGAGAACTGAGAGTTTTCTATAATCTTCTGGTCAAATCCGTATATTTTGTGGAGACTGTGTAGTAGGAGTGTGACATTTACAAGTTTACAAGTTTTAATTTTTCATTCTCTCCCTTACATAAGACTGAAAACCTCGAGGGGCTACAGTAGGGAGAATGAATACACTATAGTAGCATTTTTCACTGCAGAGTAGGCTTTTATTGTGATGAAGGCTCTATGTATATTTTTCAAAAGTACACTTTCCTTTCCATTATCACATCCCTGAGGGGGGTATTTCTGAAATTTCCTAGAGTTTCTCATTATCAAACTATTAGAGATTGTGTTTTCAGGAAATTGTCAAAAGTGCCATTCAAGTATGTTTTACCAGAATAGTGAAAATTGAAGTCTCTAGCAGTTACTGTCCTATGTAAAATAAGACAGTTTGTGACTGTGTGGACACGCACTTTCCTAGAATTTGAGATGAGCATTTGCACCATGGCTTCAGTTCTCTGAAGGGTCTCTAAAAGCTGTTCTCAGTTCATTCTGATATTTTTCTGATATGAAGACGAGAAGCAATGACTTCCTAGATCTTTACATCTAACAGCTGACCTTAGAAATGTGGCTATAGGTCTTAACAGGGCACCAAAGACCAGCGGACATAGCTTTTACCTTCTAATTTTCTGATGAATGTCACACCTAGGAGTAAAGTTGCCCTTGAAAGTCTACCTTCTCATAAATTTTATTCTTCCTTTCCCATCTCAGCATGGGGAATTTATATAGCTTCCTGAACCTGAAATCTTAGCCTCAACTTCTTAAATCTGGAGGACGAATTATAAGTTAGATCTTCTAAAATCAAAATTCCTGAGCAAAATCAAAAGTCTGAGCAACTAGACTTATCCTTGTGATAAGTGGAGACTTATCCTTGTGGAGACTTATCCTTGGAGAAAAAGTTACCTCTGTTATCATTACTATCAAGAGTGCATGGTACAAACAAAATTCACACTTTGTATTCATTGCCTAATGATTGTTAAATGCTTTCTTAGACTAAAATGCTAGTATCTGAGCCCTTGAAGTATTTTATAAAGGGAAGTTACATAGTACAGCAGGGATTTAAGCTAGGCAGTTGACAATTTAAATACAGACTTTTTAATGTGATTATTTATGAAAATTTGGTAAATAGTGTTCTATAACCTAGTTTGTTCATCCTTAAGAGGAGACAGGTAATAAATACTTCACAAAATTATTACATATATGGAAAACCTGCCTTACCTTCTGCACCACTGACATATATGTAGTCTTTCTAATTTGTTTTAAAATTCAGGTCTGTTATTATGAGGTGTGCTTGGAAACAGGAAAAAAATAAATAAGCACCTCAATTGTATTTTATAGGGCTCATAATTGCTGAGACTGTCATTGTGGTCTTCTATGTTGCTATAACCTCAGTGATTTGTATGCTGTTACCTACCATAACCCTTACTAAAGTAATATTTTTTTTGCATAGATATGTCTCCTTCCTCCTTGAAGTCATGTGCCACAGCGTGTCTGACCCCAGCTGCAGGAGTGTTCTGGGGGAAATCTATCCACTTGGTACTCCTTGGTTCAACATAGGGAGGTGACCTAACTCAGCATAATGAAATATTACACGATTACAAACCATTTTGAAATTTTTTAAACAAAGATACAAAGATAGAGAGGGGAAAGGAGGAGAAAGACAGAGATGGAAGAAGAGACACAAAGAGAGGCAGACGGAGGCCAACAGAGAAAGGTAGTAAAAGAAACACTGAAAGAGAGACAGGCATACAAAGTGAGGGGAAACAAGAAGGAGAAAGAGAATAACAGAGAGAATTAAGAGAGAGAGGCACAAAGAGACAGAAAGAAGAAGAAGAAGAGAGAGATAGCTGGGGAGAATCAGAGATAGAGAGACAGGGGGAGATAGAGGGTAAAAGGGAGAGACAGAAAGAGATAAAAATGGGAAAGAGAGACAGGGAGACAGAGACACAGAGAGGGAGCAAGGGAGAAGAAACAGAAGGAGACAGTGAGAATGGGAGAGAGAGAGGAAAGAAACACAGAGTGAGTGAGAGAGAAAAAAGAGAACAAGAAACTGAAACCAACTCAAAGACAGACTAACCTCAGGACCTCAGGATACCTATTACTTCTATGAAAAATCTACTCTTTAGAAGAGAGTGTCTAGTTTCAACCTACACAAAGCTGGATGTCAGGACATGGGGTTCACTGGGACCACCTCAGAGCCTACAGGCTGCCGATTGCACAGCTACACCATCTCTTGGGACTCTAACTCCTAGTGAGAGCTGAGATTTTAAATAAGGGATTTCATAGGTTTTTTTTTTTTAATGCATAACAGAACTAATTTTCATTCACTGCCTAGAGTCACAGACCCAGAAAAATGTAGTCAAATTGGTCAGCTCATCTTTAATTAATGATTCTTCTGTCAGTCACCAAGTACTTTTTCTGATATTTCACCGCAAATAAGAGATTTCTGTGACATTGTTTTTGGCCTTGTAACTCATTCCTTCCTATATATTTAACTTGATGGCACTTATTCTTTAGAAACAACTCCTTTATCTTAAAATAAACTCATTCTAATAGTTTCTAGGAGAGAGTTATTTTTAAAATTAAATAAAATCTGACAGTATTAACAGCAACTTTATAGAAATACAAAGCTGTGTAAAGAAATATTATGGACAAGTATACAACACAAATGAAATAACCTAGATGAAACAAAGAACTTCCTAGAAACAAAGAAACCAAAAGAACTCATTTTTACTGTTTTCCTCCTTGAAGTCAATTCGTTCCATATGCTTACTCACCCCCCCCCAACACACACACACACACACACACACACACACACACACGCACACACACAGGGAAATAGTCTCACAGCACTAGGTGGAAGCCTAGAGACCAGGGGAGGCTTATCACAAGGCAGGAGGAAACATGAGGGCCCAAGACATTTCAAGCCCTGGCATCCAGTCTCAGCCACCATCTCCCATGGACACCCTTTCCTGGAACCCACCTCCTCCAACAGCAATGGCTACTTCTCTGCATGAATGCTGCCCACAGGATGATTCTCAGCTTCGTGAACCCCTGGACAAAAGACAGACCTGCCTAACATCCTCATGTTTGGCTGAGGGATTGTTTCCTCTACAAATTAACGTGGTGATGCTAATCACCTGGAAAATTGGTCCTCAAGCAAATGCAGTATGCAGAAACACTCACTCTCTCACCTTAACATCTAGCCACTTTAGGCCACCTCACTCTCATTCTTGAAGTATATGTCTTTCTTGACCCTTTCCCATGTGTGTAAATGTACCTTTCTGCCTGTCCAAGTCAGAGTCTGGTCACATGACCCACCATTGGCCCACATGACCCTGCAGTCAGCTTGTCTGCCACAGCTCTGCAGCTTCAATGACAGAACCTTCTGCCACTGGGTTTGAGTTGCTTCACGTTCTGACTCTGGTGAAGATGGAGAACCTGACATTTCTGAGCCTGGTGAAGACAGAGTGCTGAAATTAAAGCTGGCTTAGGAGCCAAAGCCTCTAGCCCTAGGCCTTGCCCTTCCTTCCTGAGAGTGTCTGGCCAGTGCATAACAGGTCCTGAGGAATTTGGACATGAATTGATTTTTAGTATTTTGGATAGTTTGGGGGATACCTGTGAACAAACACAGGATCTATCTTGAAAAAATATTGATAAACAAAACCAACATTTAAACTCTAGTTTCTACCAGGAGGATGGTCCCTATTAACATTTGTGATTTGTAAAGGGAGGCTAGCTGTCTCCTATTTCCATTAATTTTCACATACTAGAATCAAGTGGGAAAAGTTATGTTGCACTGTCAGATGACTTTTGCGATATTTGAGTAGTGTCTACATGAATTACTGGATGGTGTATTGTTGCAACACTACTTGCTCTTGAATGAGCCATTTTGCAATTTTGCAGAGACTGATGACAACTTGCAGGTATTTTGTTAACTAAATATATAAATATCTGTCAACTGGCACAGATAATGTCAGATATTACAAATTATTGTACTGTAAGTTATTAACCACTTTTATTTGACTCACCAGTTATTCTACCAGTTAATTTCTGATGTATGAAATTGAATATATATTTAGTTTAAATCTGTATGTTTTATATATTCCATACATAATTATCTCCTTTATTTTTTCCACATCAGTATTTGTGTTGAGAAAAATCCTTCACATTAATTTTCAATTAACACAAATAATTCTTTTTAAAAATTTACAGTATTCTGACAACAAATATTTTACTATATTTACAAATAGTAATATATTTAGATTCCCTCTCCAAACCAATTATATCCCTGACTTTTAAGATTCTCCCGTCTGAATTGTAAGGTGTAGTCTTTTTTATTGTAGCAAATATTCATAACATAAAAATTACTATTTTAAACATTTTAAATGCACAGTTAATAACAAATACAGTTTCAATATTGTGCAAAAGTCATCACTGTCCAGTTCAAGAATTTTGTTGCCACCTAAATAAGAAACAGTATGATGGTTTTAATGCAACAATCGTGAAAAAGTTAGTTTTGGATCAACAGACTAACATAAAATTAGCATCTAAAAATTGGTAACTTTTTCTTTAAAACATATTATTTTCCAAACTAGTTTTTCTGAAATCTCATCTGTTTACAATGTTTTTAAATAATTTCCTTTTAAAATTATTTTAATGCTGCTAGTTTATTCATTTATATAACTATGTCCTTTTCAGCATGGCTACCTATAAATCGAGGTGTATTAACTTTTTCTATTTCCTGAATTGCTGTTTCTAAGAATTTGATGTGCATATTTTATTCCAGACTGTGGAAATATGAAAATACTTGGGTTATATTGAAGTTGCATAAAATTTTTATTTATACAAAGTTTTAAAAATAAGACTTAATTTTCACATATGATGACATTCTTCTCTAGTCCACTCAATACACAATCACTAACACAGACTGGGTCCTGTTGTTCCAGCCTATAATCTCAGCTATTTGTGTGGCAGTGATTAGGAGAATCTTAGTTTGGGACCAGCCTAACCAAAAGGTTAGTGAGATCCCACCTCAACAAAAAAGCTGGCCTTGGTAGCCTTGGCGTCTAAGAGGCATTAGTAGAATTTCAGTCCAGGACAACATGAACAAAAAAGCACAAGACTCAAATGGAAAAATAACAAGAGCAAAAAGCGTAGGTAGGTGTATGACTCAAGAGGTAGAATATCTGCCTAGCAAGCACAAAGCCCTAAATTCAAGCCCCAGTATCACCAAAATAGATAAAATATAATCACTAACACAATTTTATGTCAATAAATCAATCCACATATAATTATTTCAAAGGCTGTGTGGTATTTTTGCAACATTTTCTTTAGACTAGGATCATAAGGAAATACTATTCCAGAGTCCATTTGCTTGGAGTCTTTTTTTCACCTTTTAGATGACACTAAAGAAACAGCTCTACCTTGAACTGTAAAAATGTATGGATTTGGCTTACTTATTAATTCCTCCAAACTGATCTCATCCCAATTATCCAACTGAATCACTCACTAAACTCCTCCTGTTTATTTCAAGCATACTTGGTATATTCATACTACTAGACATATTTGCCAAATTTTTCCTTCATACAACTATAGCTCATTTCTAATAATGACTTGTCTCACCCTCTCTCTCAGTGACCAATTAAAGTGGGTCCTTCTTCAATCATTTCTTGAATATCACAGTCTACAATTATGTCTCCCTTCTTCAAATCCAAGAATGGGATTTCTAATAAGCATATGTTTGTCCTCCTACTAATTACCTGTGCTTGGTTGTACAATGTATCTGCACATGATTTTTAAAGTGAAGAAGGGTCATTTATGGCAACTTTAGCACTGGACTTTATTGAAAACACAGACTTGAGCAGAGGACCACATATTTAAAGAAAGAATAGCAGAGTAACTTGTTCAGATGACTCAGTTCACTGAAAGCTCAACACGAAAGTATCGCAATCTGGACAGCAAGATAAATACCAACAATGTGCTTTCAGTTCTAATATTCATCTGGCATCCACAAAATGACCCAGCTCAAAACAAGTTTGACAACTTAATAACATTAACATTAAAAATATAAGTTACAACATAAAAAGACTGTGAACACCAAAGTACAATTCAGGGCTCTTTGGAAACATAAGGCTGATCAGCAGCAGGTGGTTAAGCACACTAACTTTGTTGTCCCACCTCTGGATCATTTTGATTGTCTATTTGGATTTGTAGTTGCTTAGCTAACTCCTCAAATTCATGGAATGCAGAAATAAGTGGTTCAAGACTGAAATCATCATCAATTAAGGACATTGCTCCACTTTTTATAATATTACTGATGTTCTGAAACATTTTAATAACAATCTGAATGTTATCATTTGTCTCCTCTATGTTAAAGAGACCCACAAATATTGACAGAGCTTTAGCACTGAATAGCTTTTGTGCCACCATAGGATTTTCAGACAAATTCAGTAGCATTTTTAGAATATGAAATTTGGTTCTTGCATTGCCTGTGGTTAACAAAGAGAGGAATCCAGACATATAATTACCAATCAGTGTGTGATAGTCAGTAGTCACAGTGAGGTGTCTAAGCATCCTTATTCCAGTCAGCTGCTCAAGGGAATCTATGCCATGAGCAAGGGTTTCCTCACATACTTGACATATGAATGTCTCAATCATGTTCAGATTTGGATAAGGTGGGGCCATGTGAATCATGTTTTCCAAAAAACTTGTCCTAGCTCGGGAAGATGGATAATTTAGCAAGGTTTCAATAAGTGAGACTACACCAGAATCCCGAATGAAATTGCGGGTAAATTGAGAAGCACTTCTCATACCCATTGCAATTTTAGATATTTCATTAATAAATGGGTCCCTAATTTTGTCCATTAGTAAGAGGAGTTCTTCAAACTCCCCAGAATCAATATTAAGCTCACATTGTATGCAGCTGCAGGACCAATTTTCAAGTTCTGCACTCTCTCTGGCCTTAAGATGCTCTCGTATTTCCCGGACTGACCGATAGGAAGGATCATACTGAAATGGAAACTCAGATTCAAACTGATCAAGTTGAAACAAAGATTCCTGATCTTCCCCTTCTGAAATAAGTCCCAAATTATTGAGCTTTTCTTCAGTATTTTCAGACAACTCTGGAAATGTAAATGGATTTGTGGATGGGAAACCAACCCCATGACAAGGACCAGGTTTGAATTCAACAGTGACTTCTTCCCAGGTTTGGGGCCTAGATGACACATTAACTTCCTCCTCAGCTGAATGAATGAATCTGCAATGGGCTTTGTACACAGGACTTGGATTTAGGTCAAAACAGGCCTCATCTCTATCCCAGAACCAGGACCCAACTATGGCATCTTCTTCAGACTCAGGCCTGGGTTCTTCTCTAGCCACTGCCCCCAAACTAGACTTTTCCTCAGCCCAGAACAAAGATCCACCAATAGCTCCTTCCTCCACCTCTGGTTCAGGGTCACAGATTGCTGAAGATCCATTCTCTAAACCACCCTCTTTTTCTGCCCAGAACCAGGACCCAATAATGACTTCCTCTTCAAACCTGGACTCTTGTTTAGCCCTGTTAACATTTTTAATTTTTTTCTGGGCCCTTGATTTCAACATGTCATTAGGCTCATCCGTGCTCCTGTGCCTCAATCTATTGGCCTCTTCTCCAGGCAAAAACCATGATTCTTTATAGAACTCATCTTCAGACTCAGATTCAAAGCAGTCATCTCTCTTTGTTCTCAGCTTAGACCTGGAATTTGCCTCTTCCCTAACTCTGGGCCTCAGCAAGTTATTGGTAGTTTCTCCAGCCCAAAAGCAGAAAGGGTTACCAGTCTCATCTTCAGATCCAGACCAGGAATAAACATAAGGCTCTTGTTTCGATTTGGGCCTGGCTCTGGTGTTGGTTTGATGTTTAGCCCTGTGCCTGGACCTAGTATTGGCCTCTTCCCTGGGCCATGATCTGATATTGTTCTCTTCTCCAGCCCAGAAAGAAGAAACAGTAGAGGTCTCATCAGCTGACCAAAACCCAGACTCGCTAGAGGCTTCTTCTCTGGCTCTGGGCCTGGGATAGCACCAAGACCCCATATTGGTCTCCTCTCCTGGTCCAAACCAGGGTTGTATTACAGTCTGGCCCTGGGTGCCAGGAAAGGTTTCAGTGTCCACATTGGCTAGTTCTCTATCCATAGGGAAGCTCTTACATTTAGTAACTGACCCAGACTCACCACTGACCAGTGGCCAAGTAACACTATTAGTTTGGGATGTTCCTTCAGCCTGTGACATTGCCTCAGCCCCAAACTCGCTCTGGGCCCATGCTTGGGTATCATCCTTAGGCCTTGCCCCAGGGATTGCCTTAGCCTCCGTCTTAGGATGTGCACAACCTATTGCCATGGCATCTGCTTTGGGCCTTGCCCCAGTTATTGTCAGGGCTTCAGTTTTGGGTCTTGCTCCAGACATTGCCTGGATCTCAGATTTGGGCCTTGTCCCAGGCACAGATATGACTTCAGTTTTGGGCCTTGCCCCGGATGTTACTTGGGTCTGGGTCCTAACTTTGGGTCTGACCACAAGTGGGACTTCATTCTCTCGATCAGCCCTACCCACAATCTCTTCCCCAGCCTTCTTTTCAGGCTTGGCCTGAACAACAGGGTCAATCTCAGCCCCAGTCATTGTACAAATTGAAGGGACGCTTAATTAAATATGTGTGCCACAGTCAGTCTTCACGAAAGATCTGTCACAGATTTATCTCTTCACACTCTGATCTGTTGATGATGTAAGAGTTAAGAGTAAATCATCAATCCAACAATAAATGATGATCCTACCAAGCACAGTCTGAGTCAATAATATACAGAAGAGGCACAACCAGGCTGGGAGAGGATGGATGGTTCCTGGGTGGAGAGGGACAGAGAAGTTGAGGATGGTTATCAGAAGGAACTCCAGCACCACCAGAGCTGCAACTACAGATGGATCTAGGAAGAAAGAATGAAACCAGGAATGCAAGTTCATAAAATTGTGAGGCTTCATGTAAGTTTATACAAAGAAACTAGTTATGACCACTAGGTGGAGGAACGCAGCTACAGAAAAAAAAACACAACTCTGTTTGCCTACTAGACTATACTGTTGGCAATGGAGAGGCACAGGAAGGAGTACCAAATCAAACCACATTCACTCAGACTTTTAGACTAGTGGCTGATCTCCACTACACCCGCCAAAAAGTGAATCCACTTCCCATACCAACCTTCACTGACGTGATACAACTTCCACTCTTCTGAGTTCAAGTGATGCTAAGCCCCACAACTGACTACAGGGAAGAGAGCCCTGTTAACAAACACATAGAACACAATGAAGTCTCAGTGCTTCATAACTAGGTACACACACCTTAATGATTAAGACAAGTATCTTTCTTCTGGTTGAAGGATCCAAGTTGTCTATAGTTTCCCACACCATGGTTTCAATTGTCAGCTTTTTCTGGTCACACTTGAATATAAACTCCCTCAATATTCATAAAATCTCTGGCAGAAAACAGACAAGAAATGCTACAGGAACAAGCAATTTTAGCAGACTGTACAGGTAGAAGTAATCTTGCAAGCACAGGAATCACAGCCACTTGCCTGTTGATCTTCAGTAGCTTGCCCTACACAGTCCCCTTCCTCACCAGTCTCCAGATATTTGAGCCAGTCTCCTGGTCTGTTCTTTTCTTGCAGAACTGACCAGCCCCTAAAGCAGGCCTATAGACAAACAGATTAAAAAGGTGATGCAATGAGGAAAGGATGGTAGCAGCTGAGCCCAGTAGACAGAGCAACACGGGCCAAGGATAGGAGTTGCCATCTGATCTGTCATTAAACATTTCAGATTCTGTTTGTGGAATGAGCCTGTTTTCTTTGGCCCCTGCTGCAGGGCTGCAGAGGTAAGAGAACAAGAGTGACTCGTGACATCATGCACCTGCCATCAATGCCTTGTCCAGTTCTGAGGATTCACCACTAGGTGCGCCACATCCCCTTCCTCTGCGCAGCAGAAAATGGGGGAAGGGCACCACATATTCTAGAAAACAGGTTCTGAAGTGATCCTGGTATTGACGACTGCCATCACCACCTCCCAAATCCCATATTCCCAGACCCCCAACTTGGAATGGTAGGGGATAAAGGTAGGGAAGTATGTAGAAGGCGGTAAGGGGGAAGATTAGATAGGAGGTACTACTGGATGCCCACCTGCTCAGATTAGAGTCACCCATCCCTGGCAGGTTTCAGGCTAGCCCCGATGCCCACCCTCCATCCCCACGCACCTCCAGAATCCCAGACTGTTTTCTGCTCCTCCTTTTTCTTAAGCCTCTCCTTGACAGATGCCCTCGCAGAATATGTCAGACCTACAACGCAGAAGACTTTGACACCAAAACTAAGCCTGTAGGAATGGACAGCACCCAAGGAACCAGACCCCAACAGGCTCCTTTTCTGAACCAAGGCCAGAGTGGGGAAGGGCATCCTCCTCCCACCAGTTGGGCTGGACCCAAGCTCAGAAGCCTGCACACACACACACCCCGCGACCCCCCAGGACACCCCAAGACCCCATCTCCCTCTGACATTTCTCCCTCACACACCCCCTCCCACCAAAGCACAGCCTTCCCAAGGCATAACCAACGTCCAGGGGTGAGAAGCGGGAGCTTTGGAAGTTGGCTGGGAGGAGGTCAGCTGACTGGCCTTCAGACCATCCTGGAAATGCTGTGGCCTCCCACTCAGCCCCGGGCCCGCCAGACCCCCGCGAGTCACCGTCTTCTGGTCCCCGGGGATTACGGACTCTGCACACCTCTCTGGAGGATCCTCTGGGCAGCTTGCCTCCTCAGCGTCCAACTGTCAAGGTCTGGGGAAGAAGCTGTCAGCCTGTCAACAAGGGGAGACCCACCCCGTTCCCTCTGCACACCCTCACTTGCCTTCGCGGGCTCAGGGCCCAGGGAGTCAGGCCCCCCTCCACTCCCGCGCTCCCCCTCCACTCAGGCGCCTTCCTCTCTTCTCTCAGCAGCTGTTCTGTGGGACTCCCACTGCTTTCCCGAGGAGCCCAAGCGCAAAGAGGCGGCCAGTCCCCAAGCCTCTGCAGCAAGGCCGGCAGGGGCTGCGCAGGATGCGGCAAGAACCGCTAGCTCCGAGGGTTTCGGGAAGGGGGGCGGAGGGATACGGCCGCGTCAGTGCTGGACGCCCCCTCCCAGGCCCACCATAGTTCCGACCCGGGGTGGGCGGGGCCTGCACCAGCCCCACTCTCAGGGGCGGGCTCCCGCCACTCGCCCTGCCTCCCTGCACCCTGCACACCCTGACGTGGCGACTTCCACCACTTCCCTGCCTCTGCTAGGCTTCCCGGTGCTGTGCTCGCTGAGAGCTAGGGGCTGTGGCGGCTGGGGAAGCAATATCCGAGGTCGGGAATCGCTGCGCTGGAGGGAGCAGCGGATGGATACTAAAGCCGCCTCTTGGTGCTTTGCACCCCAGACTGCGCAGTGCCTCTCCCCTTCTCCCCCCTCCCCTCGCCAGTCTCCCTGTCCCTCCTCCTTCCTGTCGGAGGGGGGAAAAGGGGGTCTGGACTGCAGACAGATGGGGAGGAAACATGTGACATCAAGACATAGCAACAAGCAGTGTGGACAAGGGGCCTCTAGGAGGCTCTGCCATGTTTTGCTTTGCTTGCTTCGTACAGCCATCAAGCAAAGCAAGGCATTTCTGCCTTTAAGGGAACAGAGGTGAGGGCTCCCATCACAGGCCTCATCACTGCTCCTCTCCCAAAGGAAGGCTGGCCTACTATACCTCTAGCCCTAGGAAAACAGCCGCTGGTTTAGGCCTTTCCACCAGAGAACTCCATTGGTCATTAAGCTGACCCCACAATTGCTCAAGAAAGAAGGCCTTTCTCTCTCACCAGACACAGGGGGTCCTGTAGCCTGGCATCTTTTCACTCACAGTCAAGTGTCAGGCTTGTTCTGGCTTCCTGACTAGTGTTTTCTGTCAAAGCTTGTCTTGTCAGTGGGGTCCAAACCCTTCATCATATTTGGCAGTGTGGAACTGTGGCAAGCATTTAACCAGTGTGTGTCTCAATTGTAACCACCTGTCTTTTTTAGGGGAAGAATCCATTTCCTCAACACAGGAGCATGGCTAGTTTTGAGTCCTCTGCTTTTATTCTTACCTACATCCTCCCTCCAATCTTGAACCTCTCCTTTCCCTACTTGTTATAGGGGACCAGTGGAGCAATGGGGTTAAGCTCAAACTTGATATGGTTTGTACTGTGCATTTTAATTTTTTAAATTTAGTTTGATTTTATTGTAAAGGTGACGTAAAAAACCCCTTTCTACGTCACATAAGTATGATAATGAGTACATTTCTTGTCGAACATTGTTACCCCTTCCTCATTTTGCTCCCATTTTCCCTTCTCCCTGACTCCCCCCTCCCCACCAAACTCTAATGTTCATTTTCAACATACCGTCTTGTGAGTATCGCTGTTCCCTTGCATCCTTTGTCTCAACATTTTGTTATTCCCCTTTCCTTCCCCAATCAGATAAACATAGATACAAGCCTCAGGGTACCAAAATAAAAAACAGTGGCAACAGGGGATAACCCAAAGGCAAAAAAAAAAAAAAAAAAACGGAAAAAAATAATGTTACCGTGTACATTTAAAAAGCCCACAAACCCCTATTTCCATATCTTGGAGTTTATTTCAATTAACATCATTTTTTGGTAACTATTGAAGTATTTTGATCCTCTTTGCATATACATATACTAATTATTACAAATAAAGGAAACCATGGAGCCTATGTTTCTTTGGGTCTTACTTCAGTTAATATGATTTTTTTCCATGTCTTTCCATTTCCTTACAAATGGGCCAATATCATTATTTCTGATGGAGGCATAGAATTCCACTGTGTATATATACCACATTTTCTTGATCCATTCATCTACTGAGGGGCATTTGGATTGGTTCCGTATCTTAGCTATGGTAAATAATGCTGCAATGAACATAGTTGTGTTCATAGCTTTAGTATGGCTTTGTTTGTGATCCTTTGGGTAAATGCCCAAAAGTGGGATTGCTGGGTCATAGGGGAGCTCTATGTGGAGTCTTTTAAGGAACCTCCATACTACTTTCCAAAGTGGTTGAACAAGTTTACACTCCCATCAACAATGCAACAGATGGTCACATCCCCTCCAGCATCTGTTGTTATTACATTTCTTTATTATAGCCATTCTAACTGGGGTGAGGTGGAATCTCAATGTTATTTTGATTTGCATTTCTTTTATGGCTAGAGAAGTTGAGCATTTCTTCATGTGTCTACTGGCCATTCTTGTTTCCTCTTCAGAGAAGTCACTTATTAATGGGGCGATTGTTCCTTTAAGAATTTGTTTTTGGGTGACTTAATTTTTTTTGAGTTCGAAGTACATTTTAGATATGAGACCTTTGTCTGTTGTATAGCTAGTGAAGATCTTCTCCCTATTTATCTTTTTAGTTATTTATATTTGTTTGTTTATTTGTCATGTTGGGGAACTAACCCAGGTCCTCACAAATGCTAGCTCAACCACAGAACCCACCTCCATTCTGGTTATTCTTAGGATACTGGAATAGTTTACTAATATTATTTTTTATTTTTTAATTCATTGCAAAGGTGATAAACAGGGAGGTTACAGTTACATATGTAAGGTAACTAGGACACTTCTTTTTAAAGTTACCCTCTCCCTCGTTTTCTCACTCTTACCTCTCCACTTCCCTGCCTCCTCAAGTTGTAAAGTTCATTTCCAACATAGCATCTAGTGAGTATATTTGTTGCATTAGTTCACCCTTTGTCCTGCTGTTTCTGTGATTGATTCCCTTTCCCTTCCACAGATCAGATAAGCTTATGTACAAAACAAAGGGTATACACAACTAAAACATATGTCCTGCATACAGGACATAATAAGAACCTCTTGTTTACAATTCTTGGAGTTCATTTTGATATGCTTCATTATATATGGTCCTAAGCACTTAGCAATTGGGCTATTGTGATCCCCTGCTAAGAATATCATATATTCTAGTTATTACAAATGAGGGAGACTATGAAACCTATATTTCTTTGAGCCTGGCTTGCTTCGCTTAATATAATTATTTTCAGGTCTTTCCATTTCCTTATGAATGGGGCAATACCATTCTTTCTGATGGAATCGTTTTCTTTTTATCTTGCTAGCTATGTCCTTTACAATGCAGATGTACTGTGCATTTTATATCTCATGTAAACACCTCTCTCTTGTTTGGCAGATTAATGACCTCCTCAAACATGTCCATACTCAATTCTCTGCAACACCTGAATACATTATATCTGCCCAAAGTTGTACCAATGGAACTGTTTGCTATTCATTTGCTACTCTGTTTGCTTCAAAGTTATTCTGGATTATCTTGCTCAGTGTACTTGCAAGGATAATTTAGATATGGCAGAGGGAGGTACCCTGAGCAAGACCAGATATACACTCATTGGCTTTGACAATGTGAAAACCCAGGAGCCACAAAAGGATGGTGTGTCTCTACAAAGTATACATGACATATTCTACCCCCTAGAAGCCCTAGGGCAAAGTTGTTCTCACAACAGCTTGGTTTTAGTG